TAAATTATAAGTTTTTCGTAAATTATTGTTAATTGTTTGTAAAAAAATTATGAACGTTATATTATTTTTTGAATTATATAACAGAAAAGTTATATGCTTTACCACGTTTTCCATGATATATTAAACATAATTTTTTTTTACTGCTCTATTTCTTCATCGGAAAGAAAATAGATTTTGGTAGAAATAACTGGCAACCATTTTCCAATCGTGCAATTATGGTGTGTCCATATCTGGTTTCAACAGCTCTCAGCTGTGTTACTGGATATGGACGATCCAATTGTAATGATGACATAGAGACATATTCATTTTTAGCTTGTGACTTAAGTTTTTTTACAACATCCATTTTACTANCATATTCATTTTTAGCTTGTGATTTAAGTTTTTTTACAACATCCATTTTACTAAAAAAAATTTTTTATTTAACAGAGTAAAAATTCTATTTAAATACATACAAAACATATTTCGATATTTTATTATTTTTTTCATAACTAAAAATGTTGAACTAAAGATCTTATATCAATATTATTTACTCTTGTATTTTTAATTTGTTGTAAATTAATTTTATATGTGGTAAGATTTTCAAAATAGTTAACATCAATCATAAGGTATGTACAGCGAATATTACATTCGGAACATAATATTGTTTTAGCAAATTCTTGCACATCCTTAGCATGTTGAATTAATATAAATTCTTCAACTTTAAAATAATCACGATTATAAAAAAGGATATTGTTACATGGGAAATTTACGAATGTGAAGCTACCAATTCGTGGTCCACCAACTTCTTATCACTAACAAATATTGGTTACCCTTCGGTTACCAATATTTAATAGAGTATAACGTTTTTTCTAACCGATAGATGTAGACACATAATAACAAAAAGCATATATTACACGCATTTACCAATCATACACACAACAAAGATCTGTCAGCCGGTGGGAGTATATATACAATTACTATCGTATACACCGCCGTACCAACTCGAATAATTGTGAACGACCACTGCATTTAACAACTTAGCATTTGATATTATATTATAGAGTTTTTTATAAGCTTTCAGAAAATGTATAGAAAATATCTTGACTAGTTAATATAACTATGTATCCCCATCGATTTTAATTTGGATTACGCTGTTAATAATAGTACCTCAGCAAGGCCGGATTTATCCAAAAAGTGTCCCTAGGCTAATAAGGAACAGACGCCCACTTCTTAGGACACAGATAGAATGGTACCCCCTCCCAATTTACTTAAAAATTTGTATTTCCAAATGTATAATGTATAGTTACTTTAAAAATATTTAAAAGTCAACGTAAAAAAATTATGTATTGAAATTTTGTAGTTTAAATTATAATGAAAAAAAAATCAGTCCTGCATAAATTATAATTAATGTACAATAATAAAAAATAATAATTATTTTGTACTCTGTTAATAAACGGTTAATTCAGTATATTTAATTGTCAACTTATTAANTATTTTTACTCTGTTAATAAACGGTTAATTCAGTATATATAATTGTCAACTTATTAATGTAAACAACAAAAATTTGCACAGTTATAAAAAATAAGAAAAATTAATTAATAATACGTTTGGTGTTTCCTTGATTTGGTTGCTCGATACAATTTACACGACCGCCGTCGCCGATTATTATTTTTGATAATATATACCGTCGTGCCGTAGCTACCCTGCCCAATCACNAGTATATATTATATACCATCGTGCCGTAGCTACCCTGCCCAATCACATTATATATATATATATTGTAGAATATATTCCGTGCTATTTTTATAATTTTACAATACCGAGTAACTAATTTACTAAAAAAACTACATTAATTCTAGTAGATTGAAAATTTAATTCGCAGAAAGGAATGATATCAAAAAAAAAATCAAAGTTNCACAGAAAGGAATGATATCTAAAAAAAAATCAAAGTTTTGCCGGCCGCAGCGTCTCTTCAAGTTGTGGCACCCCTAGGCTATAGCCTAGTTAGCCTAGTCATAAATCCAGCCGTGTACCTCAGCCTACTCTGCAATTCAGTCTTATACAGTAGTATTAATTATAAATGAACCCTTCGTGACAGAACTGTTTTCAATGTAAATATAAAGAGTAATTAAAAAATTAATTGAATTCCAAATAATCTATTTTTTGACAACAATTATAAATATTTTGATATTAAACATACCAAATAATTTTTTAATTTTCAAAAATACTTAGGAGTACAAGGATACTTAGAAGATCAAAAAATGATAAAACAAAAATGATACTCGACGCGCGATGAAAACGCTGTCAAAACCTAAGTATTTGAATAAACCAATTGTTCTATTTTAGCGTNCTAAGTATTTGAATGAACCAATTGTTCTATTTTAACGTCCAGACAGCAAAAATCAAACATGAGCGTCGGCCATCATCGGAAACGCGATTCTTTATTGCAGTGTGTAAGCGATTATAGAAATACACAGTATCAATTTAGACTAGTGTCGCCAGTGTTTCCGACGCAGGGTCTAAAACGCATAGCGTGAAACCGGCTTTATGAAATAAAACTGTACTTATCAATAATGGGAATGCTTAATATTAGCTATCTAAGAGGGTGTATGTTATGTTAAAAATAAACTAGTGCATAGAAGAATTTCCGGGAAGAGCGATAAAGAATAACGTTTACTACGTTTAGGTTATATACAATTTTTTTTTATTGAATAGATGTTGTTTGTT